ATCAGCTGGTCACAGGTTCAAACCCCACTGCGGTCAGCATGTCGTTGTGTCCCTGAGACACTTCACCCCAAATTGCTTCTGTGGGGATTGCCCACAGTATTGAGTATGTAAGTCACTTTGGATAAAAGCGTCTAACAAGTGACATGTAATGTAATGATTCTTTGGTCACATCACAGAAATCTTATATTAGACTCAAAAACTGTTAAAGTTAAAAATGAGGGAAACAGTTGATTTTGGTACCTTTTATTTGAAACAAAAGCATTAAGAAAACACGTTCACTGGGTTTAACAGTAGTCTCTTTTCCTTATTAAAATCCATTGTTGAAACGTCAATAAAAACACTTCACTGCCTCAACAGAGCGCCAGGCACAGAAGGTAAAACCCTCGCCCGTCAGCTCATTTCGGACATTAACAAATCATACAGACGAGAGGACAGGCTGCCAGGACAGACAGACCCAATCAGCAGGAGGACGACGCATCACCAATGTGTTCACATCAGAACATTTAAAAAAAAACAGATTTTTACAAATGGACAAACGTTTAAAGAATAAGACCCACAGACAAGGGAGCAGGACAGCACCAGTTCACCTGTAACACACCCCACCAGGACCTGATGGCCCGGGTCCTGGGCCCCGAGTCCTGAAGCAAGCTTCTGCAAATATTCATTACCCATCACAACTATCAGAATGAGCCTTACTTAAAATAGACATTTTTAAACTAACAAAATAATATCTGATATTGGTCCCAACACTATGATACAAAACACTTTACATACACACTGAGGCTTCAATCCTCTTTTCGAAGGGCCTCGGTAAAAAGCTTAAAAAACAGATATAAAGTTAAGATGAGCTTTTTGATCATGAATTCTCTACGTCTCATGGTAGCAGCAGAACTCTGGATCTTTATATCTTCTCTAAGAGGTTAATATTCATGTATACTAACGGATACATTCATCATTTTTTTACCATTTACAGGGCGTTTCACTGCTCTTCATGCCCTCAGTGTTCAGGACCAAAGGTCCAGGTTGTCGGTGTAGGCGAAGCCGGGCTCTTGCCGCAGCTTCCAGTAGGTGTCGTTGCTAAGCCACACTTCTCTGCCCGCCTCGTCCACAGTTTTCCTGAAAGATGACAAGAAAAAAAAATGTTTTCCATTAATATTCAACATTTATAAAGAGGAATAGTTCATACTTTAATGTTTGGATGCTAAATACACACAACTAGCAGCCGGTTAGCCAGTGGGGGACAAAGTACTCAAATATTTTCCTTAAGTAAAAGTGCTAAACATTTTCTCCAGGAAATGATCACTGGGAACAACTGAGACAGTTAGCCTGGCCAATGCTAACTGTCTCCATCGAGTAGCGCCTCTTAAAGTCAACCACACATTCATTCTCATTTGTTAAATCTGCACAGAAACTGAGAAGAAATAAAAGCAGCTTCAGAAGTTATGTTTGACTACTTTTTGGTCAGTAACTTCCTGAAAATCATGTCACCACCCTGAGGTTGCCAGGCAACCAGCAGTCTCATTCTTACAATGTCTACACTTTATTATAACACACCATCATAGTACACAGTTTTACTTACAATTTGAACTCAGACATTTTTTTTCTAAAATGTCATATTTTGACAAGGGACTGAAAGTGTCCTGCGAGACGTATTTGGTTGTAGAAAGAGTGGATCTCCTCACCTGAAGAACCTGGAGATGTGCTCCTCCCCCGTCTTGGTCATCTCCTTCCTCCTCTCCCTCTGCTTTTCCTCCACCTCATCCTTCTTTTTATCTGCTTCTGCTACCTTCCCCTCCTCCAGCAGCCTGAGGGAGAGTTTAAACAACCGCTTAACAAAGACTGTAAAAAGTACAAATGTTTCCGTCTAAATAAATTAGAATGCAGCATGTACCTCTGGTCTGGTCTGAAGCGAGTGTCTGTGGGGGGGAGGGCGGCCTTCAGCTCGGGGGTCAGCTCGTTCAGCTCTCTGGCGTAACGGGAGAAGCCGTAGAACTGGGCGTAGTCATCGGGCTGCACGGCTAAACAGGAATTCACATCATGCATATTAAAAGGATATACAAATACAATGTTGAAAAATCTAAATTCTAGAGACTTATACATTATTATTATTATAATGTACAAAGAATAGAAACTGAAAATGTATTCCCAAATTAAAATGTTGTCGATCTGTAGGTCGATCTGTGTTCTGATCTGATCTTCTGATGGAAGAACATAATCTAGGATTACCCAATCATTTCCTATAGCCAGGGGTGCACATAAGTGGTACGCAGGTACGCATGCGCGGCAACAATCTGAAATGCGTACCGTCAGTTGTGTCACAAAGCGCATTTGCGTACCGATGTATTTGTGAAGCTTTTCCATAAGGCGGTTGGATCACCGGACGACGGAGTCGGTCTCCGTGTGCAAAGACAGGGCTGCTGTTAACGTCGGCCTGTACAGCAGCACTGCGCTAAAACAGCTGATCACAACGTTCACACGCTCTGTGGTCACGAAGCTCTGCACTCTACTACTACCCCCCGTTGACATTCGCGATACAGAGGGCTTCATCATACTCTACTACTACCCCCCCCCCGTTGACATTCGCGATACAGAGGGCTTCATCATACTCTACTACTACCCCCCCCCGTTGACATTCGGCTTCATGGGAACTTTGAGGGGAGCCGGAAGTTGGAGTACCAAACACT